TATTTCTCCACATCCTCTCCAGCATCTGTTGTCTCCAGATTTTTTAATGATTGCCTTTCTAACTGGCATGAGATGGGATCTCAATGTGGTTTTGATTTGCATTTCTCTAATGACCAGTGATGATGAGCATTTTTTCATATGTTTGTTGGCCTCATATATCTTCTTTTGTAAAGTGTCTGTTCATATCCTTTGCCCACTTTTGAATGGGCTTGTTTTTCTCTTATAAATCTGTTTTAATTCTTTGTAGATTCTGGATATCAGCCTTTTGTCAGATGGGTAAATTGCAAAAATTTTTTCCCATTCTGTTGGTTGCTGATTCACTCTAATGATTGTTTCTTTTGCCATGCAGAAGCTGTGGAGTTTAATTAGGTCCCATTTGTCTACTTTGGTTTTTGTTGCCAATGCTTTTGGTGTTTTGGTCATGAAGTCCTTGCGTATGCCTATGTCCTGAATGGTTTTGCCTAGATTTTCTTCTAGGGTTTTTATGTTGTTAGGTCTTATGTTTAAGTCTTTAATCCCTCTGGAGTTAATTTTAGTGTAAGGTGTCAGAAAGGGGTCCAGTTTCTGCTTTCCGCACATGGGTAGCCAGTTTTCCCAACACCATTTATTAAACAGGAAATCCTTTATAGTATCATCCTTTGTCTTCATCTCTCTTGATAACCTGTAACTAGGCAGGCTCCAGATATAGATTACTTGGACCAAATAATTTTTCCTTCATTCATTTCTCACTACAGCCTTGACACTGCCTCTTTCTTTTCCGAGTCAACAAAATCATTTTTATCAAGCAGTTTTTCTCTCTTGTTTTTTTTTTTTATAACTTCCATTTGATAAAAGTTTACTGTCTACTATGTTCAGGCCTGATAGTGAAAGGATGATTAATATATGGTACATGCCCTCACAATCTAGTTAAAATGAGACATATAAAGTCAATAAAATGTACCATAAAAAGCACCACTTTAATATTATGAAGAAAGTACTGTAGCAATTCATTCTGCCCAATGAGGGAAAGAGTAGATGGGGATACAGAGGAAAAAGATTCTGAGCTAGGATTTGGAGACTAAGTAGGAGTTGAAAACACGGACAGCAATAAAAGAATATTCCAAGGGAAAAAATAAATCTTTAAGCACAGAAATGTGTAAGCAAACAATATATTAGGAATGATTGTTAATGCAATGTGCTATTGAAGACTAGGGAAATAAGAGCAGAAAAGTAGATTGGAAATATGTGAAGGGGCGTGACTTTATCCTGAGAGCCAGTGATTTGCAAACTATTTTGACTGTCCACTCCAGCAGTAGCAAATTTTTGTGCATGCATGTATCCTCAGTAAATGCACATTTATTTAAGTATAACTTAAATTATGCCAAGAGCCATTCTTCTAGTATATCACTTTATTAAAAATACACATAGAGGGCCAGACACAGTCACTCACACCTGTGATCCCAGCACTTTGTGAGGCTAGGGCAGGTGGATCAGGACCAGGAGGTCAGGAGTTCAGGACCAGCCTGGCCAAGATGGTGAAACCCCGTCTCTACTAAAAATACAAAAATTAGCTGAGCACAATGGCAGGTGCCTGTGATCCCAGCTACTTGGGAGGCTAAGGCAAGAGAATCTCAGGAGGCGAAGATTTCAGTGAGCCAAGATCACGCCATTGCACTCCAGCCTAGTGACAGAGCAAGACTCCTTCTCAAAAAAAGAAAGAAAGAAAATACACAAAGAGAAATATGTAAAAGATAAAAATGAAATAGGTAATATTTTTCTCTAATGGAATCTTTTTCATTTTTATTAATAATGTGTACCAATGTTATTAATCAACTGCTAATGTACCTTCCATAATCAACAAATGAATGCACTATGCTTCTGCTGACATTCCAGTTCTAACTTGCATTTTTCTTGCTCTCTTGGTAGTAACAAATCATCAAGGGTATTCATAAAGTCTAGCATAGTGTACTTGTACTTACTGGTTTGGTGCTAAGATGAACTGTTAGGGAATTTGAAAGATCTTTATTATAGTCAATTTAAATATATCCATCTATACCTTATCTTGTACATATAAAAGGAATAAGTGCATAAAACACAACTTTCTTACATGATAAAAACACTCAACAACTAGGAATAGAAGAGAACTTCCTCAACCTGATAAACAGCATCTATGAAAAATCCCACAGCTATCATACTTGGTGACAGGAAACTTTCCTCCTAAGAGCAGGAACAAGACGGGATGTCTGCCCTCAACACTTCTTTCTAGCCAAGAAATATAGATTGAAGAGGAATAAGTACAACTATTTGTATATGACAGGATCTAGTATATAGTAAATCCTGAGAAATCCGCCAAAAAAACCACAAAACTATTACAGCTAATTAACTAGTTCAGCAAAGCAGCAAGATATAAGATCAATATAGAAAAATCAGTTAATCAGGTATATTTCTATACACCAGCCATGAACAATGTGAAAATGAAATTAAGAAGACAATTCCATTTACTGGAGCTTCAAAAAGAATAAAATTCTTAGAAATAACTTTCAGAAATGCAAGAACTTCTGAAATTAATTGGAAAATAATTTTTATCTTAAGAAATGCAAGATTTGTACACTGAAAAGTACACAGCATTGTTAAAAAAATGAAAAAAGATCTAAATAAAAAGAAAGACATCCTATGTACAAAGACAGGAGAAATCAGCATTGTTAAAATGGCAGTATTCCCCAAATTGATCTACATATTCAATGCAAGTCCATCAAAATTCTAGCCTCCTCCTCCGCCTCCTTCTTCTTTCTTCTTTTTCTTCTTCCTCTTCTTCTTCTTCTTCTTCTTTTGAGACAGGATCTCACTCTGTTAACTAGGCTGGAGTGCAGTGGTGCGATCTTGGCTCATTGCAACCTCCACCTCCCAGGTTCAAGCAATTCTTGTGCCTCAGCCTCTCAGGTGGCTGAGATTACAAGCACGTGCCACCATACCTGGCTAATTTTTGGCATTTTTAGTAAAGATGGGATTTCACCATGTTGGCCAGGCTGGTCTTCAACTGCTGGCCTCAAGTGATCTGCTTGCCTCCACCTCCCAATGTGCTGGGATTACAGGTGTGAGCCACAGTGCCTGGCCCTAGCCCAAATACACTGAAAGCCAGAATTTGAATTGATACTTATCCTTCCATGTTCAGTGTAACACTATTCACAGTAGCTGAAAGAAACAACCCAAGAGTCCATCAACAGAGGAGTAATTTTTTTAAATGTGTAATGTACATACAATATAATTTTCTTCAGCCACAAAAGGAATCCTATAACATGACAACCGTGAGGACATTATGGTAAGTGAAATAAGCCAGATGCAAAAGAACAAATACTGTATGATTCCACTTACATGAGATACTTAGAACAGGAAAATTTAGAGAGACAGATAGGGGCCTGCTGGAATGGGAATGGGAGATGTTGCTTAATGGTTACAGGGTTTCTGTTTGGGGTGACGAAAGAGTTTTACAAAGAGTGGTGATGGCTGCACAAGACTGTGAATGTAATTAACGCAACTGAATTGTACACTTTTTACAAAGGCAAATTTTATGTTACAATCACAATTTTAAAAATTATACTGTAATATACCTTAAATGGGTGAATTGTACCGTATGTGAATTATATCTCAATAAGGTTTTTTTTAAAAAAAAAGAAAAAGAAAAAGTAGTAAGCTCTCAAGCTATTAAAGGACACGGAGGAATCTTAAATGCATATTGCCAAGTGAAAGAAACCAGTCTGAAAAAGCTACATACTTCAAGATTCCAACTCTATGACATCTTAAAAGGCAAAAACTATAGAGATTATGAAAACACTGGTGGTTGTCAGGGATTCAAGGGAAGGGGAGAAGGATAAATAAGTGGGGCCCAGAACATTTTTAGGGCAGTGAAACTATTCTGTATGATAGTGGAATGGTGGACACAGGACACCTTGCATTTTCCAAAACCCAAAGAACCGTAGAATGCAAAGAATGAATCCTAATGTAAAATATGAACTTTTGTTAAGAATAATGTATCAACATTTGTTCATAAATTGTAACAAATGGACCACACTAATGCGAGATGTTATTAGGAGAAATCCTGTGTGAGTGGGGAAGGGTATGTGGGAACTCTGAATCATTTTCCGCATAATTTTTCTGTAAACCTAAAACTGCCCTAAAAAAGGGTCTATTTTTAAAATGCATGCTTCCCAGAGAGAATGCTCTGAATTTTATCCTCTTATCATGATTCATAAGACTATTCACTTTAAACACAAATTACAATTTTACAGTAGCTGGAGAGGAAGCGCTGATCCTTTTGCCACTGTAGAATATCAGGCACCACTGAATCATCTCAGGATTCTATCCTTTCCCTACTGCACCTCCTCTTCCACCCCCAAAAGAATTATTTTATGATCTAAATTTTTGTATTCATGTAACTGCTTCCATCTAGATAGTCTTTGAAGATGTCAGCACTTGGAAATACTTCCTTAATTTATGACTAAATTCCAGTTTAATTATAATTATGAATTACAGTGACATTATTACACCAAATTGCCATGCTTCCTATTTTATTCACTTTATTCATTTTCTATGAGGTATCATTTTATCAGAAATCTAAGTGTGTTCGCTTTTTTTTTCCTTATTAAAAAAAGGTATTGTTCTCTAAGGCACTGAAGACTCAATATGGAGGATTATATTGGAAACTATAACTGTCCCAGAGGAAAGATAGCTAGTACATTTAAGTAGAACTCTTCTCCACCTCCTGGTATAAAATGATCCCCCATACTCCTAATTTTTATTGGCACATACTATAAACTTCTTTTTAAAAAAAAAAAAAAACTTTAGAGATCAGAGTCTCGCTAATGTTGCCCAGGCTGTTACAGTGGCTATTCACAGGTGCAATCGTTACCTACTACAGCACCAAACTCCTGGGCACGTGCGATCCTCCCACCTCAGCTCCCAAGTGGCAGGATTACAGGTGCGCACCACCACATCCAGCTTGTATAAACTTCTTTAACCGTTACCTTGGTCATGTCCAGCTTCATCTATGTACTGAATATATTTCAGTGTTTGAAGGTTACAGAACCCCTCTCTGCAATGCTGAATAACTTTGTTTGATCCATTCTTGATGAGATAATCCATTAGCATAAGGGATTTATACACATGGCGCCAGTTCTTCCCATGGTCACTGAGTCTGTGCCACAGCATATTCATAATCTCTGAGAGAGAAATTGTGTTGAAAGTCAAGTCACTGATATCTGACATCAGAGAACTAGAGGGACCCCAAGGGTCGTTAGAAGTTGCTTCCCTGACTTTTATTTCAGCATCAGAGTAATTTTTCACAAAGTTTTTCACTTGCCTCCTGAATGCCATAAGTAATACAAGTTCCAAGGTGAGATGGAGGATGAAAACAATGAATAGCAGTTTATGTCACTGGTTTATAAAACGCTTGACAGGACCCCAGTTCTGGTACTCCAAATACCAATAGTTAATCTCTATGTTGATAAAGCATCAATTTCCTGCAAGGAAAGCACAAAAAAAAGCTAAGTTAAACTTTTTTTTAAGTCTATAGAGGACAAAATCAGTCTGAAAATCTAGGTTTCACTTCTAAATCAGCCTCTCACTTACAGCATCCAGAATTGAGGTACCATATAACTGTTCCTAGGATAGGTATGGAAAAATCCCTCATGAAAGATTGGCCTACATTATTTAAAGAAATATAGGTTGTCTTTCAAGACCTTAAAGTTCCTATGGAAAATATCATTCAACCTCTTTGGCCAGAAATCTAATGGCTATAAAGCATTACATGGACAGTAGACAAGTCAACATTTTAAAAAATAGAACTTGCACTCCGATGTCTTTTTTCTTTTTCCAAGAGACAGGGTATTGCTCTGTTTCCCAGGCTGAAGTGCAGTGGTACAATCACAGCTCACTGCAGTCTCGAACTTCTAGGTTCATGCAATTCTCCTGCTTCAGCCTCTCAAGCAGCTGGAACTACAGGTATGTATCACCATGCCTTGCTAATTTTAAAATATTTTGTAGAGATGAGGGTCTCAGTATGTTGCACAGGCTAGTCAAAAATTCCTGGCCTCAAGTTATCCACCTACTTCAGCCTCCTGAAGTGCTAGAATTTCAGGCATCTCTTAAGATATATTGTCATGTATAAAAATATTATGTTCTGAGAGTAATTAAAATGGGGGTAAAATTGAGTCTTAGAACCACCCACTGACCCTATGATTGTATTCTTTTTAGAACTACAAGTCCCAAGAGACAGATATATAGGCTGCTTTCTTGCTAACCTGAAAGAAAGGAGGGTCAACTATGAAGAGAAACAGCTGCATGTCAGTGGACTCCACAGCTAACTCATGGTACCCAAAAGCACTATTTTAATCCAGATAAGCCTAGTAAATTAGACAGAAAGGTTAGATTACTTTCTTTATTCACCTTTGGAAAAAGAAGAATGAGTTTAGGATTAAACAGTGTCAACAGTAAGACTCAAATAATGCGAAGATTTCTCTAAATCCTGCAGTGATCAGCATGTTTCTATCAGATCTCAAAACAAGAACCCACAGAGAGGCCCATATACTAAAACTTACAAGGCATATGCAGCCCCAAAACTTGACACAATGCTTGTGAATGATCAATTCAGTTTATAGGAAACCATTCCCTTGCTCTTTTTCATTATTTTGCATTAAGGAGGGTCAGTTAGTTTGCAATCTCCCTAGTGATTCACCGCTGCTGGCTGCCGAGACAGTGTACCAAATTGATTTCAAGCCCTGACGAGCATCCAGACCAAATGAAACCTAGATGATCTATAATCAGACTTTACTAGAGAAACTGCACACATAGAAAAGAAAAAAACGTTAAAATCCATAACAAATGTGTTCACTATTTTTAGTTTTGCTTCCCTTCCTTGACCTTCTCAGATAACTAGCTCAGGCTTGATTAATTTCTGTATGTGCATTAAAGGAAGACATAAATTTTCAGAAGCATCCTAAATAAACTATCACTTCTTTTAAAAAAAAAAAGATTAGAGGAAATAACCTCTTTTTGGTAAAAATACAATACACTTTTAACTAAGCAAGACAGAAAATGTACCCGTATAACTGGTCGGGACTGATGGCTCACGTCTGTAATCCTAGCACTTTGGGAAGTTGAGGTGGGTGGATTACCTGAGCTCAGGAGTTCAACACCAGCCTGGGCAACATGGCAAAACCCTATCTCCACTAAAAATACAAAAAATTAGCTTGGCTTGGTAGTACATACCTGTAATCCCAGCTACTTGGGAGGCAGAGGCATGAAAATTGCTTGAACCTGGGAGGCAGAGGTTGCAGTGAGCTGAGATTACGCCACTGTACTCTACTCTAGTCTGGGAGACACAGCAAGAGTCTGTCTCAAAAAAAAAAAAAAAAAGAAGAACAAAAAAAGAAAATGTATTAAATATCTGTTTAATTAAGATTTCTCAGTAAGATACTATCATTAGCCCTAGGAAGAAAAAGAGAAGTTGTGTTTCTTTCAATTTTCTGATTTTCTCTTTTCTGCACTTCAAACACAGGCATTTTTATTTGACTCCTTCCCACAGTAAAAACCTAATTTATAATATTTCAGTAACCTATTAAAATTTTCAATCATAAGGGTTTTCTTTTTCTATTGTACTTTTCCCCCCTCTACCAAACTCACATAGTGCAGAGATGCACTATGACATTGGCTTAGAGCAACAAACATTGATCTGTTTCTTCACAAGTCTATTTTTTTTTAAGCCCTGTTAGAATCATAACTTGCTGGAATTGAACAACAAAAGTTCATTTTGTTTCTTTTTTGGATAGCTGTCTATCTACATTCTAGAAGGACAACTGTAATGTTTAGGTTTTTCTATATTCCCTAACCTGTATTTTAAACTTTAAAAAAAGTTTTCTTAAATGAACTTTCTATCCCAGAAAAAAACCAAAATAATAGCCTTCTAATCCAACAGAGTAGTTTAAAATGGATGTACATGACACCACATCAAAATTAAATACACCCCCAACCATTAGAAAAATCACAAGGAGAAAAGTCTAGAGAAGTGAATTCATATCACTTACTAATGTACAGTGACTTGAACTTTATCTTGTGATATGAATGTAGAATACGGAAGACACCATTCTATTATTGCTGTCTTTTCAGAATGACAAGGAACTCAATTAATTGATGTTAGTTGTAAATTATATGTTGGTTTATTATGTGTTTTAGACACCTAACTACATGAAATTGCTGTTTACATATACCGTCAAATAACTGTGAGATTGTAACTGTAGGGGTGTGACATGAGACAAAATTAGCGCCCAAGAGGGTAAATTTCCACATCTGAATCGTGGTTGTCTGGTTACCTAACTCGCTATAATATTTAGAAATAAAGGGAAGAAGTTAGGTATTTCATGTCATAAATCTGAGAGGTCTTCACCAACCTCACTAACTACTTAGGTGTCTCCAACGCCTGGTGAATTTCCTTCATTGCACTTATAACAATCTGTACTTACTATTTGTCACTTGCTCAGTGCCTTTCACCACCAAACTAGAAGCTCCTTGTGGGCAGGGACTTTGACTGTCTTACTTACCACTGTAATCCTATGACTAACAGCTAATTAGCAGCAGTAGGTGCTCAGGAAACATGTGCTAATGACACAATGATTGAATGCTGCTGCCTTAGGATAAACCTGCATTGATTCTATAGCTTTATAATTATAATCATCACTTTTTTTTCTTTTTTTTTTTTTGAGATAAGGCTGTAGCCCAGCCTGCTTGCAAACTCCTGGGCTCAAGCAATCCTCCTGCCTCAGCCTCCTTAGTAGCTTAGGACTACAGGTGCATACCACAAAGCCTAATTAATTTTTTTTTACTTTTTTGCTTTTTTTTGAGACAGTTTTGCTCTGTCACCCAGGCTGGAGTGAAGTGGCATTATCTCAGATAACTGCAACCTCCGCCTCCCAGGTTCAAGCTATTCTGCCTCAACCTCCCAAGTAGCTGGGACTACAGGCAGGAGCCACCACACCCAGCTAACTTTTGTATTTTTAGTAGAGACAGGGTTTTACCATATTGGCCCTGAACTCCCAACCTCAAGCGATCTGCCCACCTCAGTCTCCCAAAGTGCTGGGATTACAGGCATGAGCCACTGCACCTGGCCTTAAAAAGAAATTTTTTTTAGACACAGGTTCCTACTAGTTGCCCAGATGGTCACAAACTCCTAAAAAGCATGACATTTAAAAAATAAAATCTAGCCCTGGTAATTTTCAAGTAAAATTCTATAGTTTTGAGCAAATATTTTCAAATCATCAACAGATATTTCTTGAGAACCTACCATTTGTATAGCTTTGTAGAGAAATGCAAAACACGAATTTCACATTAAAATTTACAATTAAGGGGGAACTTTCTCTCCTAAATAATTCCAAGAAAAACAAACAAATGATTACATAGAAAAGATCTCTTAGTTTTCTTTTTAGCTCTGCCCACTTTCACAATGCTGTTTCTTTCCCCCCATTTCATCTGAATCCTAACAGGAAATGATTTATCAGGTGGCATTAAACTATTGGTCCACGATCTTTTTTATCCAAATCCTTTGAGGCCAGATGATTTATGGAATTCTTTTTTGGGTGTGGGGGGAGGGGTAGAATTTTCCACAGTAATGCCGTGAGTATAGATTACATGATCTCCACAGTAAGGTGTGGGGCTGCTCTAAACAATTAAACACATTAACGTGTCTGCAACAAAAACATACAAATATTTGGAATAAAGACTACAAATGACCTCATTCCAGTTCAAGCCAAGTTTTACCACCAAATGGGTTGGGGGGAAAATTGGTTTCCAAAAATTTTTGGACTTCAGGATTCAGAATAAAGAACAGAGGAATTGAACTGACCTTATCCAAAGACTTGGGACAATAATGACAATAGCTTCTAAGAGGCTGAGTCCCCAGCGCCATCTCTGGAAAGATGCATTTAGGGTGGAACTATGAGGAAAGAACAGCTCCTGTGTTTGTACAGGTTCTGCCTACACACATGACTTTGACTCGGAAGGAAATAAGCTCTGGCCAAGAATGCTATGGAAGAATGGTTACAGAGAATACCACGGCATTAGGAGGTGTTACTGTTTCAATGGAAAGAATACTGTCAGAGGCAGAGATTCTAATCTTTTCAAGTTCCAACTGTGTGTTCATTAATTTATGGAACTAATGATCTTCCAGAGCTTACCATGTGACAAGCTCCATTCTAGGAAACGGAGAAACAGGTGCAAAAGACAAAGTCCTCACTCCCCTGGAGTAAACAGCTACTCTTCATAGAATGCTCACTATGTGCTCACCCCTGGGACGTGACATACCTCATCTCTCTCCTTTAAATAGGTTTCAAAGCCATGGTTTGAGGTCCTGATTTGCCATTTCCCAACTAAGCCTTAACAATTTCTGAGTCTCAGTTCCTTCATCCGCAGCACAAAGAATAATCGCCAGATAGGGCAGTGTGGGAGGAAGAAACGAGATGCTTTGGAAAGAATTTTGAAAATGGCGGGTGGAGGGTGAGCGAGAATCAACTTTCTGTGTAGGAAGGGCCTTTCCTTGGCAACCTCGTCTGCATTCACCCAACCCCCATTTCAGATGATGACTATGTACCAGGTGGGCACTCGGCCACACAGAGAATGAGACCAGCGATTACTCTCAGGGTAAGGCTGGATCTCGGGGAAGCTTCTAGAAGGACGGAGGGGCAGGATGGCGTCACCACAAGGATCTCGTATCCTGCGAATAGAAACTACCTCCTGCGAATAGTAACGGTCTCGTAGACGTCTTGCCCAGACCCGGACCCTGACAGTGCGGGCAGGAAACAGGAGGTGGGATGGCAGCTGATGTTTCCAGATGCCCCTCGAGCCCCATCACCACTCCCAAGCAGAGGCTCTTACCTTAGAGGAAGGTCTGGCCACTGCTCAGGGATAAACCTCTCCCGAGGATTTTCCACCTACGCCAGCCAGGCCCAAGGGCCCAGGCCCGTCCCCACTTCCGCTTCCTCACTTCCCGTTCCTCACTTCCGGCCCCAGTGCAGTTCTTCTCAGCACCTCGAGCGAGGTGGTTGCAGATACCCGAGCTGGAGGGTACCAAGGGGAATGAAGGCAAATATCTTCGTTACACAGTCTGCTGGGCTAAGACATTGCCCTAATCCTCCTTTCAAAGAAGAAATATTTACAAGTGTGTTACTAGTGTCGTTTTAACTGACTGGAATCAGCACCAGCACGAGATTGCCACCTCAAAGGGCAGAGGATGTAATAGCAGTCTACGAAGAGCAGTCTGTGTGATGGGCAGTGATGGGGTAGCTCCAATGACTGATGGCTTCAAGTGCCACTGACAGGTAGTTGTTGATGTATTCAACTGATTTTCTGTGAGCACCTGCTTTGTGTCAGGCAGTAAGGATTCGGTGATGAAAAGCAGCCCTCTGCTGGATACGTTTACAAGCTAGTGGAGGTGACAGGCACCATCACAGAAGATTGTGACAAGATATGTATGGCATAATAAGAGAGAAGAGAGCATCTAATTCTGCCACGAAGTATTTAAGGGAGGTTTCAAGAAGAGTTTACATCTGAATTGAATCTTAAAGGATGACAGGGAGTTCACTGGATAGACAAAGTAGAGGAGGACATAAGAGGCAAAGGACACATCATGTGTAAAGGCATGAAAGCTGAGCCGGCCTATTATCTTGGAAAAACTACATGTACTGTACTTACTACAGCTGTCACAAAGGCTATTAGTGGAGCAGCAGAGGAAGGTAAAATAGCAGATGGAAATCAGATCTTGAAGAACTTCTTCCATACTACAAGGTAATTTTATCCAGTAGGCATTGAAAAATGTAGTTGAACCCATGTGTTTGAATGGAATATTGACTAGGATGAGGGGGAAATAACAGAGGATAATGAAATGCTTAGTAGACAAAAGCAACATTTGTTTCTATCTCCTGCTACTTCAGTCATAATTATAATAATAATAGCCCATGATATTGATACTGACATTTAGGTAGGTGAATCCAATATAAAATGATAGGAGGTTTGAAAGAAGTTGGTGAGTTTGAAATATTTTTTGGCTGGCTGTAATATAGAGTAATGGGGTGGAAGCCAGAAGGAAATAGAAAAGGCGACCTGGAAAACATTGTTCAGGGCCTTGAATGCTATGTTGAAGTATTTGGACTTAATAAAATAGCTGGGGCAAACTGTAAGTATTTTATACATTGAGCTGTAGTTTATGAAGATTTTTTGTATGCATAGCTTGTGTAAATCTCAAACGAATGCTGAGAAGTAGGCTTTATTATCCCATTGTACAGGTGAGAAAGCTAGTTTGGGGAATATGCATATATTCTACATTACTGATCACCTGCTATGCGCCAAGCATTATGCTGGGCTATGACACTAGAAGGAAGTTATAGTTTAATACTCTCATAGAGGAAACAGGAATAAATCAGCAATTGTAAGTGGTTGCCATAATAAAGGCAGTGTTATGGGAGTGAAAGGGGTACTTGTCTAAATCTGCATAGTCAGGGAAGGTTTCCTTGAGGAGGTGAACTTAAACCGAGTTTGGAGAAACAAATAGATTACAGTAACTGCCCACAGATGTTTAACTAGGAAGCAGTTTACCTGAAACTTGAACCCAAATCACCTGTGTCTAGCTCTTTACCCTACTCTAAGGACCAATCTTTGGTCCTTGATTTTAAGCTCTATCAGCAGCTCAGTCACAAGTCTGGTTGTTATATTTGAAGAAGGTCAGAGATTCCAATTTTTTATTTTTAAATTCATTTTCTCCTTTTAAAATAAATCTCTGTGCTAAAAAAAAACTAGAGTGGAAGCAGAATAGAACTGGAAGAAGAACCAAATGTTGTGATAGTTCAGGCGATAAGTGATGAAGGCCATAACTAAGGCAAAAGTCACGAGCGTGGTGTGAATCTCCACGCTGTTCACTCTCCTCTTACACATATACCTTTACATATAATGTTAAAGTGTAGAAGTTACAGGACTGCACTCCAAATATGTGTGGCAATGAGGGAGAAGAAAGAGTCTACACGGACTAAGAGTCTACAGGTGACCTTGTAAATGACTGTTGCTGTTCACCAGGATAAACATGGTCTGAGGAGCCAGTGTGGCAGGAAAGATGGACATTTTGAATGCCCATCTTTGGACATTCAGACATTTTGAATCTGAGGAGCCTTGAGGGCAACAGGTGAAGATGTTCAGGGAACAGTTGAATAGAGATAACTGAAACAAGAAGAGGGTCTGGAGCTAGGCTTACAGACTTAAGAGCAGTCAGCATATAGAAGGTGATTGAAGAGGCAGGTGTCAGGTAGGCGATGGGGCAGGATTAAAGACTGCAGTCCCAATAAACAGTGAGGGAGTTGGTTAGGCTTGGCAAAAGTGTCAAGTGTTACCAACCTAGTGAAATTAACCCTGTTCAAGTGACGTTGTGTAAGGGGTCCTTCTTACCTGCTTTCCTCCATTTGGGGGCACAATTTAGTTGTAATACTGCAGCATCCACTAAATACAAATATTGTTCTATGTAGCTTGGTTGGTTTTTTTACTTTAATTTGTTGAACACGGGGTTCTATAAAAGTGAACACAGTTTGCTTTACCTGGCTTCCAGGACACCATTTCTCCTTCCCACCTCCTTGACTCATTCCTTCTCAAACCTATGACCCCTCAACTTTGAAGGAGCATTCTCTAACCTCTTGTCTTCTCTGTCTGTATTCACTCTGCTGGTAGTGTTATCCAGTTGCAAAGTGGAAAATACTCTTCGATTCTGACAACTCTCAAGGTTTTCTCTTCAGCCTCTCCTGACCTCCAAACTCGTATGTCTAACTGCCTTGACCTCTGCACTGGTATGTCTCATGGGCATCTCAAATTCAGTAAGTGCAAAACCAAACTGTGGTCTTGTCTTCCAAACCTGCTCTCCCACGGTCTCTCTTGTCTCAGTAAATGACACATCCTTGCTTCCAGGTTCTCAGGCCATGAACCCGGGAATCACCTTCACTCCTCTCTTTGTCTCTCACAGCTCTCACCTTATCCATGAGCTTACTTTTGAAATACAAGATGGCTACCACGTCTAGATAACAAGTGATTTATTGATGCTATATTCTAATGCAAGTTACCATAACATTAGCTATGCTTCTGACTATACCATCACCCTGTGCACTCAAAATCCAACCACTTCCCACCACTTACACCTTCCTGCTCTAAGCCACAGCCGTCTCTGCTCTGGACTATTACAGTAGCCTCCTAATTGGTCTCTCTCCTGTTCTTGCGCCCTTGCGATCTAATTTCAACACAACAGCCAGAGCTACCCTTTTAAAACTTAAAACCCAAGTCAGATCATATTACTCCCCAGTTCAGAATCTTCTGTTGGCTTCCATCTCACACAGAGTAAAATCCAAAGGCCTCGCCATGGCCAGGCCCTACATGTTCTGCTCTCTGATCGCCATCCCAACTCCTCCCCACTACACTCACTCTGTTAAACATGCCCCTGGCTGAAGTCTTTGCACCCGCTAATCCCTGTACCTGCAAAAGCTATTTCCCCAGATATCCATCTGGGAAGTACTGGCTTCTTGAGTTTGTTCTGGATTTTCCTCAAATGTCCTTTGATCTCACAGTGTAAAGTCACAATCCCCATTTCAGCCACACTCCCTGTGACTCTTGCATCATTTTATTTTTCTCCCTAACAGTACTACCGTCTGATATATCTCCTGTTTCTCCCTTTGCCAGAATGTAAGAACCAGGAGAACAGAGATTATGTTTTCTTCACTGATGCTTTTCTGGCACCTAGAAAAGGCCTAACACAAAGTAGGTGTTTAAACTTTCTTTATTGAATAAGTGAAAAGAGAATGTCTGAATTCACACTATTGAATAAGAAATACACATTTTACCACAAAGTTAAATTAAGCATAATTATGAACAGGAAGTTCAGATATTGGCTGGGCACAGTGGCTCACACCTCTAATCCCAGCACTTTGGAAGGCTGAGGTGGGCAAATCACTTGAGGTTAGGAGTTCGAGATAAGCCTGGCCAACATGGTGAAACCTCATCTCTACTAAAAATACAAAAATTAGCTGGGTGTGGTGGCAGGTGCCTGCAATCCCAGCTACTTGGGAGGCTGAGGCAGGAGAATCATTTGAACTAAAGAGGTGGAGGTTGCAGTGAGCTGAGATCACACTATTGCACTCCAGCCTCAGGGACCAAGGGAGTCTCTGTCTCCAAAAAAAAACAAAACAGAAGTTCAGATATAAACAAATGACTTCTCAAAAGGAATTGATAAAAAATGTTAAACAAAATATGATTTTTAAAAAACAATTTCTCCCTTGTGGCCAAGTCCAGATTTCACATGTTACTGAATCCTCCTCATCTTGCTGCTATTTTTCTGACTATCTCATGATAGTGAGGACTGAAATGCTGGCATTCTCATGTTAGGGTCTTTATTCTTAGGATCTGCCTTTGCACTCATTCAATTACAGAGCTGTTATGAAATAAACCACTCAAGTGGCCTTGCTTCCCTCCCACTATGCTCGGCATAACATGTCTGTCAATCAGTCCTTACTACCAAAATAACTTGCCTTTGAGATTTTTCTGTTCTGCAATCTGTCCCATGCTTATAAGGGGAAGGATTATATTCTGCTCCCTGAGGAGAGGTGCCGGTGGGAAATTAGCTTCCTCATTAGGGTACAAGCTGAAAACACCATGATACTTTCCATGTAACACCATTCATCATTTTCCCTTCGCTCCCACTCCCCAACCATAGAATTTTTTTTTTTTTTTTGAGATGGAGTTTTGCTCTTGTTGCCCAAGCTGGAGTGCAGTGGTGCTATTTCGGCTCACTGCAACCTTCACCTCCCGGGTTCAAGCGATTCTCCTGCCTCAGACTACCGAGTAGCTGGGATTACAGGCACATGCCACCACGCCCAGCTAATTATTTGTTTTTTTAGTAGAGATGGGGTTTCATCATGTTGGCCAGGCTGGTCTCGAACTCCTGACCTCAGGTGATCCACCCACCTCAGGTGGATTCTAAAGTGCAGGGATTACAGGCGTGAGCCACGGCACCCAGCCCCAACAATAGAATTTTAGGGACTCATTTAACCACTTCAAAACCATTGACTTGGGAGCTATGGAAGAATTAGAACTGTAGCCAGAGGATTTCAACATTTAAAAACTTGGCAATAGAGCTGTTCAGTGTAATGATCCAAGAAGCTCCTTAGGAGGTTGAAGCATTCTGAGGCCAAGGTTGAGATGTTATT